TTTAAATCTGTAAAACGGGGGCAATAAGGGTAACTTCATTTAAGGATGATGTGAAGGTTAACTCACAAGCAAATGGCTAAGAACAACGCCTGGAACATAATATATACTCGATAAACAGTCAGTTATTATATTAGTATCCATATACATCAGACAAACTTTTGGTTCCTGGAACTGGTTCCTTAGAATTCCATTCTAAACTGCAGTATTTCAAATGTTTTTGCCACAAAATATGTGAAATGAAGAACTGTAAGCAACAGAGGTGTAATCTAAGTAACTACTTTTAAATTAATAAATTTCTAAATAATTATTCCTATGAAAGGAACTATCCCAGAGAGATCTATCTATGCATCTTGATGTTAAGCCAAATTTTTATAGGGAGAGCAAATGGTGGTAGAAAAAACAGCTAATCCCTTCTATCAATATCAATCATCCAGAAAGATCCCACTTCTGAGAAACCGGTATATGCATATCTTAAGACTCTTTTTTTATCAGCATTTCTTTGTAGAAAAGTCTGTTTAACGGCCTACATCGCAATAATTAACTGAAAGCAGCCTTACAAACTCATGAAAATACCAAGTGATAATTTTGTTCTTCCTGAGCTCTGGAGCAACTGAATAGTTTCAGCAGGGGGTAAAAAAACTCCCAAAATACAAGAATTTCCAAATAACATTCACCTTTGGAGGATACTGAAACCTTCAACAGCCTAAATTTATTAAATACTATCTAAAAGACAACAGTGAATAAATGTATCTATTTTCTAAAAAGAAATATGCACACAAAAGCAAACATACAGGCATCATTAAATATACTGTAAGAAAAGAGAGTACCACTCTATTAGCTCACTACTACAATACTAATTAATTTCCAATTAGTCTGCCTTTGTTTTTTTCCCCACTCATCAGTCTAGTGTAATTGCATACGTAAGATAGCCCTGTTTCACAAAAGATGTTTCTATTGAATATGTTATAGAATCATATTCAAAAAGAATAAACAGGCACAGACTGCACATACACACAGGTAAAGAAAAAGAACACCTGGGAGATGTTAATCCTTTGAGTAAATAACTCACACTCATGTCTGGAGGTTATTTTTTTCTCACAATTAGCTATAAGAAGTGATTTATAGTCTACCGGTACTTAGTGAGAAAATATTAATGCTTCCTTGTTCTTTATCTTAGGAGGATAAATTCTTTTGTGAGAAAAACATATCTAAATTTTAATTAGCTCTACTTAGTCCTTTATCCAGGCCCGTTCCTGTTTTGGGCCATTGGGCAAGTCCAAAAAAACCCCCAAAATTCACATAAATCAAACTGATCACCTCTAGGCTAAGGTCACTATCTCAAATCACTCTGGGGCTATCAGAACCTGGAAACAACCAACAGTTTCTAAAGTTTCAAGCAGAAGCTGGGAAGAATTTAGGCTTGATCCTTTCATAAATTGGTTTAGTAAAAACCAAAGCTGGGAATCAACTTCTTCCACTGAAAACTAGCAAATAAATGCAAGAATTTAACTAACTGTCCTGCAGAAACCTATTACAAGGTAAACAGCCCTAGTTGAAGAAGGAAAATTCTACTTTATAAAGATTCCCAACTAATTAATACAGAAGGAATGTGTGAATTAGGGGGAAAAAAAGGAACACTTGCAACCCCCAAATGAAATAAATTAAGGCAGCGATCATTAGGGGATACTAAAACCATTACTAGAAAAATATAATGGAAGGAACAAAATGTCACTACCTGAAACGACAATCAATCTTAAAACATCACTAGAATCACTGAAAGTGGGATAATCAGACGTTTTATGCTTCCAACCAAGATACAATATGAAGCACAAGGAACAGCTATAAAGTATTCTTGCTTTAAAAATATAAGCAAACAAATAACAAAACCTAAACTTCATCAAGCTTTTGGAGCTAACTTCTAGTTTACATTAAAAAAACGCAGTGGATGGAAGAACAAGTTAAGATGACACTACAAGGAAACAGCCAGACAATCCAGACTGTGGAAGTTTCTAAAAGAATAACTTGGTTTCTTCAGTAAGTCAATCTATCTGAAGGTGAGGATGGAGGGAGGACTGTTATAGATTAAGAGAGATTTAGGAGGCGTAACAACCAAATGACATGTGTGGCCCTTGAGAGGATACTATTTTGAACAAATAAACCCTTAAAAAAACATTTCTTGAGACAACTGGGGACATTTGAAGATGGACTGGGTATTCAACGACATTAAGAAATCATTGAAAAATTTGATAGGTTGATAATCACATTATGGTTTGGTAAGAAAATGTCATTATTTTAAAGATATTATGGTAATGCTTGAGTTGACATGACAGGATGTCAAGAACTTGCTTCAAAATACAACAGAAAAAATGAACAGATAAAACAAGTGTGGGAACTACTGAATTGAGATGTGGATATGTGGATTTATTATACTAGCATATGATGACTGAAATCTCTGATGATAAAAAGTTTTAAAAAATTACCATGTGAATAATCCATTCAAAAGTAACAAAGAAAAACAAAAGTTTTCAGAACTCTTTTTAAAATAAGTTTTAAAAAAGTTTACTTGTTGATTTTAACTACCACAGACACATATAAAAGAAAAACAAAGTAAACTCAATTTAACAGCTATACAGTATTCTGTCAGAAGAACTGTACCAAGATAAGTTCATATGGCATGAATACAGAAAGTATTAAAATACTGCTCAATAGCTATAAATAACGTTTTTACGAGAACACCAATAACTTTGCTAAAAGCTAAAATTTAGAACTTAAAAAAATTACAAACTTTTCTCTATAGCAGTAGTTCTCAACTCCCACTGCATGGTAAAACCATCAGGGGATCTTAAAAAAATACGAACGTCTGGGACCCGCTCCTAATGATTCCCAGTCCAGGATAGGGCCTCTGTGGTGATTTCCATGTACAGTAGTTTGAGAAAACGTGTTCTATAATGACTACATATTTACCTTTATGAATACATGTTTGTTATATCTGTTCTCAATTATCAAACATTTTAACACCAAGAAATTGCCTATAAAAAGTCTGCTCTGCCTTTCTGCTAAGATCCTTTGAGAATGGCTGACTAATACTTTATTCAACTCAAAATACTTAGAAAGTTCTAAAATAAGTATTCTTTTTATACATTATCTGCCCTAATTTTTTAAATGTAGACAACATGATCATGAAAAATTACTTCTAGCAATTTTTCTAAAAGTGATCCACCCCTTAATAAATTAACTACACTTTTTAAACATGATAAAATGATCATTATAATGATGTCTCAATTTATAATCTCAAGGATTTCTGATCACCTTGAAGTAGAATATGTGAATAACTAATAGTCTGCCACGTTTGTGATTATGTATTTAGACGTCAGATTTCTAACTAATTACAAAGCACTCGGTCTCCCTTCTGGAATAAATTACATTTTCTGAGACACAGTGATCCCTAGCACTAAAAGAAATTAGAAGCTTAAAAAATTACTGTGTAAAATAAATCAATTAAAATTTATAATACTGATTCCAAAGTAATTAAATTCAGTCATGTACTTAGATATAAAAATTATACAAGGCAAAGTGAATCCCCCTAAATATTTAGCAGAAAAGAATTATCAACTTGCACTTGTGTTCTTACAGAATCTTTGAAATAAAGGGATATCCATCAATTATTTCATTTTGAACAAGTATTGTTTGAGAAAGACTTAGCAGAAAATGGATTGGATCAATACTAGTTTGGTCATACTTTGAAGTCATCTGACTTATTACGTATCACTGGAGGCAAATAAACATAGAAAAGATTTGGTTACCATTCCAGACAGCATGACCTCCATAAAGCAATACTGGATGTCACTATACAGGGTGTTTGAAGACTATGTAAAAAATTAAAGAGGCTGGCATGGTGGTGTAGCAGCTAAAAGTTCATGCACTCTTGCTTCGGCAACCCAGGATTCACTGGTTTGGATCCCGGGCGCAGACATACACACTGCTTATCAAGCCAACCTGTGGTGTGGCAGGTGTCCCACATAGATGTTTATCACTTATAACATATTTAACGAATGGACAGCACAATTGTTACATATCCACGGTAAATAATTATCTATTTCCAAGAATTACTTCATTATAATGCTTTTTCTTTTTTTATCCATAGACATAAACTAAACTGTAAGAGCTACTTTGCAACTCAACAATCTTGGGTTCCATATGGATAGACACTGTGATTTAAAGAGAATCTTACAAACATCAGAAATCAAGAATTCCCAAACACATCAAACAAAAGGAAACTAAAATTTCATCTTAAGCTATAAATCACTTCACTCATTTTACTTACAAAATAACATTTTCCCTTATTCTTTCTTCATCTTGACTCTATCAACTACTAGTTGCAGATTTTTGCATTGTGTTTTTATTAAGTGGGTCAAATCCATTGTAGAATAAAATGAAACATAAATGATTAGGACAAAAAGGCAAATAACAAAATAAATTTTATAGAAAATTCCTTCTAGCTTAAATTGTTTTCTTAAAAGAGAGGCTATCACATGTTTTGAAAAAACCCATATGCCTACTCTCACTACATGTTTTGTCTGTTAACTTTTCACTGTTTCTATGCAGTGCTAAATTAAAACAATCAGATTAGCCCTAAGAATATGCACAAGAGCCCTAGACTTAGACCTAGATAGTGTGACATCAAGTTTGAAGTTTAAATACTTTATTAAGAACTCAACAGTATTTCTTCAGTAGAGCTTTTCTTCTATTTTGGGAGACTAGGAGAATAGGAGAAAAGGTGAGGTAGTGAAAGGAATATAACAGACATAATTACGCTTATGAAGAACACTTTAGGTTTTTCTCCCAACAGCATTCATACGCCTTCTCACCTGAGAAAAATAAAACCTAATACAATTTCTTAAATTCCAAAACAGGGGATTCATTGTACTTACTGGAGTTTAAAAGGCACTTTCCCATTTGGTAAAATGGGAGAAAAGTGGTACAGACAACAGAAATCATACCTAAGAGGGATGTCTCCTTGGCAAATGCTGCAGCAATAGCAGGATCCAATGCAGGTTGTCCATCTCCAGATGGGAGATCAGGTCGGGTATAATCCCTACTTTTATCATTGTTGTATTTTACATTCAAATTCACAAGTTTAGAAAAATCAATCCTTAGGGTACAGCAAGCATTATAAATATTCTGACCATCTAGGGCCTGTAAAAGGGAATAAAGTATATCAGCAATCTCAAGGAATAAAAACCAGAAAAAGGTATGACTTTAACAATAAAACTCAACAGTGAAAACCTACACATAAAAGCCACCAGGAAAGGAATGAAAGAAATTTCATATACATCGTTCTTTGTGATCCCAGCTGTACATGTGTTAGTTTCCACAAATATTATCTTCTTTAAATAGAAAGTGCTACATACACCTAAAATAAAACCAGCTAAGCAAATGTGCTAATACTTTTAATTCAAAAAACCTGCAAATAGTTTAATTTAAAAAAATTAGTAAGGGCCACAAATATAGTCAGTCCTGCCAAAGTAGTACCATAGTAGCCTGCACGATACTTTAATTTTATCATACATGTATTTTTTGATGGATAGCATAACTTATAAGAATTGGTCTAGTTTCATAAGGTAACTTCTGTTTGACGCCACATTGTATGAGGTGCTGCAAGCCAAATAAATATCACTATGATGCATAATAGCAATTCCCATGAAATGGGGCAAAAATTATCATCTTCCTTAACCTGAGGTTCAACGTGAATCAGAATAACTTGCTGAGTTAGCAAATCCAACATCATCCCAGAAAAGTTCTGGACTAGAAGAGTGCAAGCTCAAGATTTGTAAGCCTACACTCAGTCAGGTCACGTTGAGCAAGTTACTTAACTTCTCTGAATCTCAAAATCTTTCTTAATCTGGAAAACAGAGATGATAATGGCTGCCATAATCCTCACAGGGTTATTATGAGGATTAACCAAAAGATCACATATGTGAAAGCACATCATAAATTATAAAAGACTATGCTGCTGTTATGATTATTATGTTTTTTCCCACTGATTCTATATAATCATCATTTCTACTCCAGCTGGATATAGGCCTGGAACAAACTAGAGAACAGGGGAATGTATTAATTTTTCATTAGAAGAATAAAGACTTACTGTATACAACAATCAGAAATGATGAACATGTTTAGATCTATAAATTACTGTATAAATGAAACAACACTTCTTCTGATAACAACACACGCATAGATCAAGCCTGATGTTTACAGACACCAAGACTCATTAGGTGTGTACATCTAAAACTATATTATTTTAAAGGTAGACCAATAGTTTTTTGACGAGGTTTTTAAAGAGATTAGACTGAAATATATACCAACCTCAGGGCAAATTCAAGAGATTGTTGTATTTTTCCCTCCAAACCTCACTAAGTCTCCCATGTTAATCTGTTTTTTTCTGAGTTGCTCTTTTCTTATAAAGCAAAATGCTAAGGGGAAGAAACTCCAATTATCTGAAGTAATTGCCAAAGAACACAACTAGCATATGGAAAGAGTTTGGTTGGCTCTGTCACTCAAGCTGCTTTGATATAGCTGTGGTTCCCACAACCTTCAAAACAAAAAACAAAAAAAACAACAGAGTATTGGGCTCCCAATCCCCAAAATTATGCTAAGTTAATTCAGGATGGTCTGAGACTCCCATTTTGTATAAGCAATCTATATAACAAGAACATAGGACCACACTTTGAATAATACCGTAAATTTTCTTCCTCAAAACTTGAAGGCACACTGCCTGCTAAAGGAATTCCCAGTGCCTAGATACTTTTTTTAAATTTTTCATTCATTTGAACACTTATCACTGTAAGTGGAGAGGTAGGCCTGAGATTCTCTTCTCAAACTCTTATTCCTTGCCTTTAATTTTACATGACCATTTTAATAAGCATAAAAACGTAGGAACTGATTTACAAAGTTTAGAACCAACTCATTCCATAATATACTGACATGTTCATGGCTAGTTGAAAGGTGGGAAGAGACCTATCTGCAGCACACCAGGTGCTGGGAAAGCTATGACACGGGATGAAAAAAACCCTAATATTTACAATATGCCATACCTTATGCTAGGTTCTAGGAAAGTAGCAGAGAACAAAGCAGACATGGTACTCGCTCGTATATAACTTACAGTCCAAAAGAAAATACACATGTAACAAATAATTATAAATTTGATGTGTGGTGATGAGAACTAAGAATGGACAGGATCCAATCTAGTTGAAAGGTTATGAAAAGACCTCTCTGATAAGAGACTTCTAAACTGAAACTTGAAAGAGGAAGGCAAGGAGGAGCTGGGCATAAAGAGATGAAGAGAAAGCAATATCAGCAAATGGGTTAGCAAGTTGCAAACCTGAGAGATCAGAGAAAAAATACAGTATATGCAAAGTATTTAAAGAAGTTCAATATAATTAAAAGATGGGAGATGAGACCAGAGAGGCAAACTGAGGATTGATTTAAAGTTCTGTAAACCATGTTAAGGAATGAGGACTTTATACTAAAGACAAGACTCAGTCACTGAAGGGCACTGAAAATGGAAGAAAGACGATTTTTAGTTGAGATCATTCTTAGTACTCTGTGGAAAAACAACAGGTGTGAAGGAAGAAGTCAAAGTGGTGAGTTTAGTCAGAAGGCCAATGAAACAGAGATTTAAGAGATGATGATGGCTTAGATCAGTGCTACTCAAACTGTGATTCATAGACTAGCAGCCCAGGTCACTCTGCATTAAGGTAAGGAGTCTGTGTCAGAATTTACGTTAACACCAACCCTAAACATACTGTGGCTGGAACTATGCTGATCTGTATTTTGGCAAAAGCTTGTTGTAGCATCAGAGACCAGGACTATGAGTAACACTGGCTTAGACTAGGGTGGTGGCAAGAGAGTTGAAGACAAAAGGATAGATTCAATAGAAATTTAGGATCTAGAATCAATGAGATTTGGTGATAGGCTGAAAGGAAGAGGAATAAAGGATGACTCCTATTTTCTGGCTAGTTACCTTACAGACAATGTGCATTAGGATAAGTAATTTACATCTTTAAATCTTAGCACCTCCCTGTAATACAGGAAAAATTCCTATTCTGTTTACAACATAGAGCAGTAGTCATAAAAAGTGAGATAACACTTGGTAAAGCATAAAATTATGCTCTTATTATTAGTATAGCCTTTCTGCTCCCTGAAGCTATTTTTGCTCCCCAAATGAGATTCTGAGGATGGAAATGCAATGAACCAAAAATCAAAACCGGTCCGGGTTCGATACAAGCTATCTTGACTTGGAGGAAGCACTGATGTATTACATACCATAATTAGTCTGAGAGTGAAATAAAGAAAAAGAGGTAAGACAAAGGTAAGTAAAGACAATTGAATTAATGGTTTAATAATGAATATTTAATGGTATAATGATGGAATGAAAACAACAATGAAATAACACGGCAAAGAAGTTAAAGAGAGAGAGGAAAGGTAGATTTAAATAAGACAGACAAACAGAAGATTATGGCTTTTAGAAGCAAGCATGTGGTATGCAGTTTTCAATGGTAGCCATGACATGGGATGATTCTACTTCTTTTAATACTTTCTTACCCTCCCTCTATAACAACAACAACAAATGTAAATGATGTGAATAAAAAATAGACAAGCAACCTATTCAGAAAACCTGTCTTTCAAAAAAAATCTTTAAAGAGAACATTGGATACAGTCTTAAATAAGCCAAGAGCCTATCACAGCATTTGAGCACAAGTATATTAACATATTTCAGCTAAACTATCTCACTAGCTAAATTAATTACTTTGAAACTCCTACTGGAAAACACTTAAAATCTTATACAGGTGTACATGCACAATACAATCCTGCTATATCCTCAAGAGCACAAAACTTCTGGACCTAAATCAAACAAAAATGCAAAGTAATATAAGCCTATATTATAGATAACTGCAGATATGACTAATCTTAAAAATAAACATTTCTTTATCACAAATAAGCTTTTCCAATATTTTAATGATACCATTTTGTGCCATCTATAATGCTACATGATATTGCTAAGTTATGGCAGTATTAATAACATTAGCTATATTTACATGTGTATATATGAGTTTGTGGACATCTATGCGCCATTGAAAAATATCTCTTTATAAAAAAAAGGTCTAGACTTACTAGTTTTGCCTGTTGAGCATTTACTGGATCACCATACTGAAGGAGAGCTTGAAACTGGTTATTTTTTGTAAATGTGATTATCTTCAACACAGCACCAAACTTAGAAAATATCTGTTAAAACATCAAAATCAAAACAACTTATCTACTGTATTATTTCTCCAATTTATAGGTAAACGTGCAAATTAAAGTAAACTTACTTGGTGAAGGACATCAAGTGTTACAGGGTAGTACATGTTGTCAATAATTATTCTAAGCACTGGACTCTGGGCTGGAGTCACTGCGCTCTCACTCACTGTGGTGCCACTGAGAGGAGTGTTTGCTGTCTGCACAGCTGTCACAGCTTGAAGAACTGCTTGAGCACGCTGAAAATCGAAAGATAAGCACTTTAGAAACACATCCAGTATTTGCACTTTTACTTTGCTACATGTTACACTATTTGTTCTTTTCTAGAACACATATAGATTAAATAAAATTTAACACCCACTCAATAAATACTTTTGAGCACCTGCCACAAGCCAGGTATTGTCTGTTTATAATTCAACTATTCTACTAGTGTTTATTTCAAAACTATTATCTAGAGTTTGAGACCAACGCCTAAACCAATGCTAAACAAGCAAAGATAGGAAATGTAATTTATTCTCAAACAACAAGATGCAGTTTGGTAGATCCATATAATCAGAAAACAGAAACTGTCAGAGAACAATAAAACTTCAATGTAACATTATTCACTCCATAAAAGAGAAACACGGTAAATCTTAACAAGCGGATTACTAGATTATCCAAAAGAACTCCCATAAACCTTATTATTTCTAATACGATCTTAATAGAGGAATATTCAGGATACATGTCTTTTTTTCATACTAGTGTAACTTCTGACACCAAAATCTTTAGAACCGAAATTGATCTATTGTACTTTGGTACAAAGGCACAAAATTTTCAGGAATACACCATAAATTGCAAAATGCAGTATGATTTTTCACGTATGACTAAGAAGATACTGCTAATTAAACCACGACAGACGAACTGCTGTGAGACACACCCTGATTTCTGAGATTTTAAAATGCAAAAAAAATACCTAGAGAATTGAAGAAATACAGTATTTTCAGGAAATCCGTCAACTAAATCATATGTTAAATGTTCCTTTTAAGACTGCCTTTATTATTCTAATGCCTTTCCTATTATTACTATGACAGATTCACTGATAAGCAAATAATTTCTTTCTACCTTACCTGGGGTCAGAAAATCTATATAAAGCCAAATAATTGTTAAATATAACAGCGACAAAGACCTCAACATTGCTTTATAGTTTGAAAAAACTGTACTGGTAGATGAAAATGAATATAAACAGAGCACAGTGATGAATAAAAAGAAAGGAGAATGCAAAAGAATTAGGACACTTATGAGAATAAACCATTCTTGTTTACTCTTCGGCAGCACACATGCTATGGTGATAATCATTTTGCAATATATAAGTGTATCAAATCAACAGGTTGTGCACCTTAAACTTACACAATATTATATGTCAATTATATCTCAAAAGAGCTGGGGGAAAAAAATAAATATTTCACTGAAATATCATATAACCAAGGGATCATATAGCTTGGATTCAAAGAGACCAGGTACTCATCTAGTCAAAACTCATCATTTAAGTGCTAATTAAATAACACTTCGAGGGACTGGCAAACAATAATAAAATAAAATAAAAAATAATTTGAGGTGTAGCAGTTAAGTGCGCATGTTCCGCTTTGGTGGCCCAGGGTTCGCCAGTTTGGATCCCCAGTGCGGACACGGCACCACTTGGCAAGCCATGCTGAGGTAGGCGTCCCACATATAAAGTAGAGAAAGATGGGCACAGACGTTAGCTCAGGGCCAGTCTTCCTCAGCAAAAAGAGGAGGATTGGCAGCAGACGTTAGTTCAGGGTTAATCTTCCTCAAAAAAAAAAATAATAATTAAAAAAATAATAATAATTTGACCTATAAATTTGTTAGCTAAAGTGACTCATTAATTCAAACCCAATATTTGGAAACATTTGATAAATATTTAATACAATAAACACAGTTACACTACTATGGAGAATACAGTTATACAGAAAATAAAGCAGGATAAAAAGATTTCTAGAGCAATGTTTATTAATTTAAATGTTTGAATATATTTAACCTAATACATATTTAAATAGTTTTTTAAGCAGTTCACTGCAATATTATTTCTTCATTAGTGAACAGGTCCTTACACTATACCTGTCTATTATTACAAGTATGGAAATATCCCCATCTCCTAAGAGGGGATTAGGTTGGGATTAAGAACCTTTAATACAAATTAAAATCACCATGAGATACTACCGTGTCCTACCAGATTGGCTAAAATTAAGAGGGGTAAATACCAAGTGTTGGTAATAATGTAGAGAAGCTTGAATTCTCATATATAAGTGATGGGAATGTAAATTGATAGAATCATTTTTAAAAACTTGAAATATCTGTTAAAGCTGAGCATATACATTTTCTTTGACTTAGTAAATCTACTTCCAGTTACATACCTGAGAAAACACATGCATGTGTACGTCAAAAGATATGTATGACAGTAAACACTCTCATAAACACTAACATCTGCAATTTCAAATCATGGAATATGGAATATCTTTTTTTTTTTTTTAAAGATTTTATTTTTTCCTTTTTGTCCCCAAAGCCCCCCGGTACATAGTTGTATATTCTTCGTTGTGGGTCCTCCCAGCTGTGGCATGCGGGACGCCGCCCCAGCGTGGTCCGATGAGCAGTGCCATGTCCGCGCCCAGGATTCGAACCAACGAAACACTGGGCCGCCTGCAGCGGAGCGCACGAACTCAACCACTCGGCCACGGGGCCAGCCCCTATGGAATATCTTTTTAAAATAGAATTATGATCACAGTATACTATCCAAATGGTACAAAAGATTAAAAGTTCCTCTGCAACCCTGTCTGCTTTCCCCAACCCACTCCTCACCAACATTATCTTGGGTATCCTTCCAGAGAAACCATTTACATATACAAGTATGCATGTGTACATCTGTTCCAAACAAGCATTTAAGTATATTTCTACTCCACGTTTTCTCCCATACTATTCACTGTTCTCCATCCTCCTTTTTTAGCTTAACAATTATGTTCTCCATTATCATTAACAAATAAATGCTTACATTTTTTAATTCATAAAGCAGAGCTGGCTTGCCAATCTAGATTTTAATTAAACTTCTTATTGAAACATTACACATATATAGAAAAGGACACAAATTCTAAGTGTATACAGCTCAATAAAATATCACAAAGTGGACATATCTGTAAAATGATTATCTAGATAAAAGAATATTACCAACATGCCAGAAGCCACACCCATGCTTTTTCCCAGTTACATAAATGGAATCATATAGTATGTGTTCTACGTTGGTCTGGCTTCTTTCAAGAAACGTTATTTTTAAGACGTACATCCATGTATTATTGCAGGTACTAGGAGCTTATTCACTCTTTGTGTATTCCAATGAATTTCAATGAATGAATATACCACAATATATTCTGCTGCTGAACATATTTGGACTTTGGACTGTTTCCAGCTTTGGGCTATTACATATAGTATGCCATGAACTTTCCCATACATATCTTTTGACGTACATATGCATGTATTTTCTCAGGTATGTAACTAGAAGGAGATTTACTAAGTCAAAGAAAATGTATATGCTCAGCTTTAACAGATATTTCAAGTTTTTAAAAATGATTCTATCATTTACATTCCCATCACTTATATATGAGAATTCAAGCTTCTCTACATTATTACCAACACTTGGTATTTACCCCTCTTAATTTTAGCCAATCTGGTAGGACATGGTAGTATCTCACGGTGATTTTAATTTCTACTAAAGGTTCTTAACCCAAATCTAATCCGCTCTTGGTGGATAAGAGGATGGCTTTCTGGAGGAAACTAGCTAAGGGGAGACCTGAAGATGTCTAGCAACTGGCCATGTGAAGTGTAGGGTAGAAAAGAGGCACAAAAGCAAGCAAGCCACAATATTCTAGGCAAAAGTGACATCACAGAGACACAGTGGCCTCAAAAGATTGAAAACAAGAGAAAGCATGCCATGTTTGAGGATCTACAATTACTTCTGGGATAGACGCACAGGCAAATAGGGTAGGAGAAACAGTAGCCATCTCAGAAAGGGCCTTTATCCTGAGCATGAAGGGGACCTGCTGCAGGGGAGTAACTTAAGTCAGATTTGTGCATTTTAGAAAGATATATACTTGACTGTACCAGGGAGAAAGAATTCAAGAGAGAAAGGAAAGAAAATAAATTAGCAAGAGAGCTATTATAGTAATATAGGCAAGAGGTGATTGTGTCTGAATTATAGAAGTAGCAAGAAAGATTAAAACTAGACAGATATGAAGGAGAATGAACTGACAGGACCTAATGATTTGATAAAGGGTTATGGAAGAATTCATGGTTAACACAAATATTCATTTGCCTCTCTTCTACTGTGAAACCCCAATAAAACACCTATAAATAAATACAAAACAGAATAAATGCAAACACTGAAGAGAGAGGAAATCATCAGTAGCCGAGAAAAATTTATCAAACTCCTAAAACACAGAAAACGAACAGAAGCAAATGGACAGAAGACATAGTGAATGCACAGCAAACAGAGTTTGCACTGATAACAACCACATGAATCAGACCAGAAATTGTCAGGTTCACAGGAGGAAGGAGTGAAAATAAAAGGGTTAATGCAAAGTCTGGCTCATAAACAAACAGCTAAACTCCCCTTCCTCCCCTCCCCAGAACATCTCCCTGGCTTACAATTAAAAAACACTAACAAAATCCTCCCTTAAAGGAACCAGAAATTCTACAGGAAGTTTGATGGACCAGAACAAAGACCTTTTCGGCATCTGGAGGGGAATCTTAGCTTAGTATCCAATTCCCCATTACTTTACAGGAAAGCACGTAAGTCCAATAAAACCTAACTGTTCTGAAATATGGACAGACAACGAAAGGGAGGAAAGGGGAAGAGGGGGAGAGAGAAAACAAGATAAACATAACAGCTAACACTGAAGAAAACAGGATATAATTTAAGTATAGTGAAATATTTGTAAAATATCATTAATTAATATCCTTAAAAAATTGTGAAGTCATAAAACACGACCAGTTACAATGTAAAAAGGATGATCAAAGAAGATTAAAAGGTTTTGAAAATTAAAAATATGGTTGTGTAAAAAACTTTTTTTCAACAGAAGGAACTCCGCAGTTTGTTCCCTGTGAGTGGAATAACCCAGACTGGAAAAAGTGCCTTTATTCTATAACTACTTTGAAGTTTGTTACTCAAATGTCACTTCTTTTTCTCTTTTTTTCTCTTACTTTTTGAGGAAGATTAGCCCTGAGCTAACGTCTGCCGCCAATCCTCCTCTTTTTGCTGAGGAAGACTGGCCCTAAGCTAACATCTATGCCCATCTTCCTCTACTTAATATGTGACAGGCCTGCCACAGTATGGCCTAAGAAGCAGTGCATAGGCTGGCACCTGGGATCTGAACCGGCAAACCCCAGGCTGCCGAAGCGCAAGATGCGAACTTAACCGCTGCACCACCAGGCCAGCCCCTTCAAATGTCACTTCTTGCTAGGGCTTTCACCATTATCCTATTTAAAATTACAAATCTGGCCCCCTCCCCGCCACTTACATCTATCTATAGATGCCGTATCTTTATTCTTTATACATTCCTTGCATTTCAATTTACTTGTTTATTTTTTTGCTGAGGAAGATTAGCCCTGAGCTAACATCCATGCCAATCTTCCTCTATTTTATATGTGGGTCACTGCCACATCAGCATGGCTGATGAGTGGTGTAGGTCCGCACCCAGGTTGCTACAGTGGAGTGCGCCAAACTTAACCGCTACACCACAGGAACGGCCCTCTCATTTGAATCTTTTAAAATGGGAATGTAACTTCAACAAAATAAAGGCCATATATGACAAACCCAAAGCCAGCATCATACTCAATGGGGAAAAACTGAATGTCATCCCTCTGAGAACAGGAACAAGACAAGGATGCCCACTATTACCATTCTTATTCAACGTGGTACTGGAGAGGTTTTGGCCAGAGCAATTAGGCAAGAGAAAGGAATAAAAGGAATCCAAATAGAGAATGAAGAAGTGAAACTCTTGCTGTTTGCAGATGACATGATCTTACATATAGAAAACCCTAAAGAATCCACTGGAAAACTATTAGAAATAATTAACAACTACAGTAAAGTTGCACGTTACAAAATCAACTTACAAAAATCAGTTGCATTTCTATATTCTAATAACAAACTTCCAGAAAGAGAACTCAAGAACACAATTCCACTTACAATAGCAAAAAACAGAATAAAGTATCTAGTAATAAATTTAACCAAGGAGGTGAAGGACTTATACAATGAAAACTATAAGACATTATTGAAAGAAATAGATGATGACACAAAGAGATGCAAAGAAATTCCATGCACATGGACTGGAAGAATAAACACAGTTAAAATGTCCATGGTACCCAAAGCAATCTACAGATTCAATGCAATCTCAATCAAAATCCCAACAACATTCTTCACGAAAATAGAACAAAAAATCCTAAAATTCATATGGGGCAACCAAAGACCCCAAATTGCTAAAGCAATCCTGAGAGAAAAGAACAAAGCTAGAAGCATCACAATCCCTGACTTCAAAATGTACTACAAAGCCATAGTAATCAAAACAGCATGGTACTGGTACAAAAATAGGCACACAGATCAATGGAACAGAATGGAAAGCCCAGAAGTAAAACCACACATCGACAGACAGCAAATCTTCAACAAAGGTGCCAAGAACATACAATGGAGAAAAGACAGACTCTTCAATAGTGTTGGGAAATCTTGACAACTACTTGCAAAAGAATGAAAACAGACCATTATCTCACGCCATACACAAAAATAAACCCAAAATGGATCAAAGACTTGAAGATAAGTCCTGAAACCATAAAACTCCTGGAAGATAATATACGTAGTACATTCTTTGACATCGAACTTAAAAGGATCTTTTCAAACACGGTGTCTTCTCAGACAAGGAAAACAAAAGAAAAAATAAACAAGTGGGATTTCATTAGACTAAAGAGCTTCTGCAAGGCAAAAGAAACTAAGATCAAAACAAAAAGACAACCCACCAATTGGGGGAAAACATTTGCACATCATATATCCAACAAGAGGTTAACCTCCATAATATATAAGGAACTCATACAACTGAACAACAAAAATACAAACAGCCCGATCAAAAAATGGGCAGAGGATATGAACATTTTTTCAAAGAAGATATACAGATGGCCAATAAACACATGAAAAGATCTTCAGTATCACTAATCATCAGGGAAATGTAAATCAAAACTACACTAAGATACCACTTACACCTGTTAAAATGGCTATAATCACTAAGACTAAAAATAACATGTTGGAGAGGGTGTGGAGAAAATGGAACCCTCATACACTGCTAGTGGGAATGCAAACCGGTGCAGCCACTATGAAACACAGTATGGAGATTCCCCAAAAAACTAAAAATGGAACTACCATATGACCCAGCTATCCCACTACTGGGTATCTACCCAAACAACTAGAAATCAACAATCCAAAGTAACATATGCAGCCCTATGTTCACTGCAGCACTATTCACAATAGCCAAGACATGGAAATAATCTAAGTGCCCAACGACCAATGATTGGATAAAGAAGATGTGGTGTATATATATACAATGGAATAACAGCCATAAAAAAAGACAAAATCATCCCATTTGCCACAACACGGATGGAACTGGAGGGAATTATGCTAAGCAAAATAAGGCAGACTGAGAAAGACAAACACCATATGATTTCACTCATATGTGGAATATAAACAAACACATGGACAAAGAAAACAGTTCAGTGGTTACCAAGGGAAGGGGGGTGAGGGGTGGACACAGGGGGTAAAGAGGAGCATTATGTGGTGACAGACAAGAAATAATGTACAACTGAACTTTCACAATGATATAAACTATTATGAACTCAATAAAAAAAAGAATATATTCATGAATTACTTTACTGAAAATACTAATATATAAAATAAAATTGGGATATTAAATGCCATTTTAAATTCTAAATAAAAAGAACATGGAATAGCTATTTTCTTTTGGCATATTTCTTCACGATAAATTCTTAAAGTACAACTTCTGGTTCAAAAGGAACGAAAATTGCCAAATTAAACAAAAAACAAAAACAGCTAAAATTTTAGCCTTATCTTTTAGATAAAAAGTTTTAAAAGCTTATAGTTCATAAATTATCAAAATGGTCTTAAGTCACTTTTTACGAAAGTTAAAATCTATAAGGAATAATTTTCCATTAAATTTTCAGTGAGACAGAGCCAGGTACAGTTTACATTTTACTGAAACAGAAAGATATAATTAGCTAAAAACTATATTAAAAGAGCTAAAGTTTTTAGATCGTTATTGCAGCCCTACCTATTTAGGTCTAAAGCCATTCATATACTATTTTTTTAATATATTAATTTTAAATAATTAATGTCTTTTACATCACATGCTTAAAAGATCCATACATTCATATATTCTCCCTTCTTACATTTTCCCCACAGGAAAACCATTAACATATCTTCAATAGGAATTTTTCCATAAGGAATTAAGACCTATAAAAAGTCAAGTAACCAAAGGCATTGAACTTCATACCTTAAAGTATAAGCAGGAGAGTTGTATATAGTTTATGCTAATAAAAACTCCTACGTCATAAATGGTTTCTACACAAAAATCTTAACTTGTAACAAAAAAAACCAACATTCTGACAAGGACTTTAAAAGCACTGAAAAAATACTATTTAATTGATCCTGTACCAATTTAAAATATGAAAATAACAGACCACACATACTTTTTGTAAATTAACATAATATTTAATGCTGCAAGAAAATGTCTTAAAAATAACAAGAAAATGCCCACAGAGACATCTTCTGAAACATTAAAAATTTTATTTTCTTTTAATATGTTCATGAGATTCTTAGTATGGTCTGGGACATTTTATTTATGTACCACATATACTCACTTGGTTTAACGTATTATCTGTTTTCAGTTCTTTGTGATTGGAGTACTGGATATAAATTGGTTGGTTACGAAGATGAGGTGTCACAGCAGAATAGTAATTAACCATAGTAATAGCTGCTTCCTCTGTTGCTAGTTCCAAAAATGCCTGAAAATTTAAATAGCAAAAAGGTTAATACTGTGCATTAAATTCAAACAAACTTCAATATCTGTGTAATCTATTCAACTAACTAGAAAAATCAGTATCTAGAATATAACTTTTCAAGTTACATCTAGATGCTCTAATAAATAAAATTAGAAATCCTTTATTCAAGTTTAGGTATACAACTAAAGCTAACCTCAGAAAAAAGCTCTTTGAGTACATGGTGCTTCTGCCTTCGATCTCTGATTTTCCATATACCACAAATGTACTTCCAACAGAAGCTAAAAAAATTAAGTCTAAACACTTTTTCTAGCTTCAGAATTTTACCAATCCTAACCTAGAGAACATAAGAGATCTCAAAGTCATTTTTAAAGCAGTATAATTTAACAAAGAAAAAAAATTAAATGTCACATTATGAGTTATATTAACTGTATTTAAGATAATCTTAAATTTCACAGACTGTTCTAAATAGCATCATTAGAAATTTTAAAACAAAACTTCCTTTCTAATATACCTGGGTCCTATTGCTACAGGTACATCTATGCAATGAAAAATATACAGGATTAATGACTATTTTCTTCTAATGCTATCAGAAATATTTCCATGGGATAAGCTTAAAGGAAAAGATGCTATTTAGTGCCCCTACTGATTTCTGATATTATAAAGAGCAGAGCCACAATAAAAGAAATACTTCATTTATATTTTCCAATCTTATTATAATAATTGTTCAATTAGAGTCCTGAAGGGAATTCAAAAGGGAAAATTTGAAAACGATGGTGAGATTCATTTTGGCTCCCTAGGATTAGTTTACCACATACAGCTAGCAGGAAAAGTCAGAATAAGACTTCTGTTATGTTCTTTTAGGAAAACAACCTACAATATTCTATCCTCGTATTAGGCAATAGCTAATTTACACCTGCTGGGTAGTTTGGGGCTTAACATTTTATATAAGTCCTGAAAGAAGTATACCTGATTTTTTCCTTTCAGCATAAGGATGTTGGTCACCTTACCAAAAGGTAAGCCTAAAGCAATAACTTCAGTTTCTGTCACTTCACCAGGTAATTTTCGAATATGAAGTACACGAGAAGGAGCACCATCCATTTTATCTTCTCCTTTAAATTTTTTACTATCATTACCATTGGCTGAAAGACATTGAAAAAGAAGTCTTTATTATATTACTTTTCCTTATTTGCATAAAAAACACAAAACAAAAACACAGCTGAGTATACTTGAATAATTCCTAAAAATTCAAAAACTGGACTTTCAAAGGAATAAAGAAAATCATACCCACCAATTATCATTAAATGAAATTATCAATTAATTAAGACTATTACTGGGTAAGTAAGTTTCTGAAGTATATGCAACAAGTAACAAGAGATAAGCAAAAATATTAAAATGTAATTTCATAAAGAAACTGTGCAATGGCTAAAGAACAATTATTTTGCAATTAATCATCTTATTACAGACTAACAAAAACACAATAAAAGTGAAAATTCTGACATAGCAAAAAGTAGGGACATTATAATTTTACCTTAGAAATTATATATTGTTCAATTTAAAATATTCTACTCAAAAGTGAGATCGAAGAAAGCAATGCTGTAAAAATGATCATGCAGTCAATCCACCATTATGGCTTACCTACAATGAGCCTCTCCTAATTTGTTAAAATTACCACCTAATCTATCTAAATATGTTGTCACTATCAACATCTATATACTATAAATCATTCATGGACTTGATTAACGTATTCTGTTATTCTTAGCTTTAAAATAAACTGATATATTTTATTTAACAAATTAAAGTTACCTGCTTTTATTCCAAAGCTTCACCAAAAATAAAAATCTTACTAAAGAGGCAATAAAATAGGTGATGTTTTATGGAAAACTATTTGAAGAACTTACAGTCTATCCACTATTCCACACTGGTAGTTAACTTCTAAGGACTCAAAGCAATTTCTGAGGTTCTCATTAAAATGAAGAATGCTTATACATTGAGAAATATACCTGTACACTCCATTTTGTAGATACTTTTGGGTACTTTATGGTATGCGCCCCAAAACATTCAACACTATCTATAAACAATATTATATATATAAAATATATATTCAACAATATCTATAAAACTCTAAGATCATCTTGATCTCCAAGTGTCTTCAAAACTCATTCACACACTGATTCTTTAAACAGCCACTGAAAATCAAGAATGTGTCTGGCACTGTTTTAGGCTCTGAGGGTACAGCAGTGAACAAGATCAATAAGATCTGGGCTAGCGGGAGAGGCAGAGTAACCAGTACATGAACCAGATAATTTCTTACAGTGATTAAGAGCTATGAAGAAAGTAAAGCAGAGTGATGTGATTAAAGGTGGCTTAGCAGAAGACTAGAAGAGAGTGGTGTGATAGTGACTTTATTGGATGAATCAGAGAAGGTATCTCTAGAAGATAATATGTGAACTCACTTGATAATTTACTTGTCAAGTTATACTTAAGTCATGTTTTACTCTAAGAGTTTCACCCAAGTTTACATACATGAATGAATGGCCAGCTGATGCACTTAAAAATCCCCTTAGGTTGGCTTTGTACAAAAGAGTAGTAAGCTCTGGTTCTGAATATATTTCCATGAAAATCTTGTTAACTAGCTCTTCATCACTCCAGAAATACAAAAAAACTACAGGAAGCTCTCCACATCTCCTCTTGTACAACTAAGGAAGATTTTTGTGTGCAGAGGCATCTGAACTTATCAGAAAGAAGAAAGACAGTGAATTTTCTATTTTGTGGCATCTCATCTAACAAAATCATCACTGGGTCTGTTAATTGAAAATGTAAGTTAAGAAGGCCAGCCCCATGGCTGAGTGGTTAAGTTCGCGCGCTCTGCTTCCGCCACCCAGGATTTTGCCAGTTCAAATCCTGGGCCCGGACATGGCACTGCTTATCAAGCCATGCTGAGGCTGCATCACACATGCCACAACTAGAAGGACCCACAACTAAAAAGACACAACTATGTACCCGGGGGGCTGTGGGAGAAAAAGGAAAAATAAAATCTTTTTAAAAAAAGACAGAAAATGTAAGTTAAGCAGGGAATAAAAAAATACAAATATGCCTTAAAACACATAATCGGCATACAAATGCATATTCTTCTTATGTAAGACCAAGGACTCTTCTTGGCTAAGCAGTCTATAGAGAATTCTGACATTTTGTGTTCTTGTTCATTCGTTTGTTTGAATAACAAGAACAAATACTTCGTAATTCAACCTAAAGTTATAGGTTTTGGTATCAGGAAACTCAAAACAGCAAACTTCAGTTTTTTCTAATTTAGTCTGTCCTTTTCCTTCTGGGAAAAGGTCGAGAAAAAAGCACCATAATAAAGATACCACCTATCACTGTATATATAGGGTGAAAAAAGGCTTCTCTTTTCAAATGACTTTTAGAATATGATTTCCAAAAGGTAAAGTCTCCCTAAACCTATTATGAAGAGAATAGAATAGTTTATTGTTAAGGATTTGTGTTAGATAATTTCTGGACAGTGGGTGGTAAAAGCAGAAGTAAAAAAGCAGAATAACAAGGAAGGTAGGATAGTTTTAACAGTCAAAGAAGACAACCTGGTTTTTTGGAGAAATACAGAAAAGATGCTACTTTTCTTTTGCATAGATATTTAACATTCTCTGGAAGTTAACTACTTTACACCTCTAAGATGCTATTATCATGACCCATCAATCCCATTTATGATGACAGCTAGTGAAGTTGCCAAGGTCAGACAGTTACTAAGTGGTGAAGACGGGAAGTGGCAGAAAAAGGATTAAAACTCAGCAAGTATATGACTCCACAGCCTGTGCTCTTAACTTACTATAGGAGAATCCCAAAACAAAATTCATATTATACACTTTCCTGTCAAAGACATGTCCTTTCCTCTCAAAGACCATGTAAGTACCAAAATTTACACTCTCTTCACACTCTGATACTCCCTCAGTTAAGAGCTTCAGAGAGGGTGGCTACTAAATATTCACATATAGCTAAATATGATGAAAATCTTCATTTAAAATAATGACATTATGAGAATGCAAAACTGGAAAATGAAGATTTCTTTAATCACACAACTAAGCCTAATTTCATATATAAAAACACCCCAGGCCTGGAAAAGAAAAAAGGCATAAGAAAACGTGTGGTCCTCAGCTTATAAAACATCTAGGCCATTTATCACCCTCTCAGAGAAGTAAGGAAGACTGGGTCTCTCTGGGTTACAGATCTATGATTTTTCAGAAGACAAAATACAATAATTTGGACTTCTTTCTGCTGTCCTTTCCCTTCCACTCCCCAGGTAAGTCCAGAAACTTTTGGTTTGGTTATGTAAAACCAGTAATAATTAAAATAATTCTTATATAATGTATGCAACATAGTAATGCTTTTACTTATGCACATAAGTTACATATAAATTACAGAAATCATTAATTACACCATTTTCCATATATAATTTGGTCTTCTTAAAGCCTTTTGCTTAGCAAAGATATTCTTCTACTCACAAATTCAAAACTAGAAAACGTAAAAACTGTTTCTATTTGAACACTTCTCTTCCAATCTCAAAAGTGGTTTTCTACTTCAAATCTAAAGTGAGCATCTTCACCTTTATCAGTCCATCTCTTCTCTCCTTGACTGACCTTTGTTCTCTACTGGCTTCTGCCTGCAGCTTTCACATAAGTGACCTTATAAGACCCTAGGTAATTTGTTAAACCCATCCGCAGCCGAAGAACTGTGACCCCTCTCAGCCTTACTGAATGTCTCTGTTCTCACAGAACCCCTAACAATTCATGTCTAGTTTTCTTACTTCCCTGACTCATTTGATACCTGTGCTTTGAACCCTCTACTTATTCATTCCCAGATCCCCAACCTGTTTTGGTCCCAAGGTCCTTCCTATCTGTACTTGCTCATATAAACACTCCAGCACCTGGGTTTCAAAAATCACTTTGTCATTTAATCTGTAAACCTATTATTTTAGTCCCACTCATTAACCAATAATCTAATTCTATACTTTCAACTGCATACCAACCTGAGCACATTTCAAAACTTTATACTTCATCTGTCTATGAAGACATATATGTAACAAAACATAAGCACATTCTCATTCTCCAAGTCTTTCAGACGAAAGCATTTATAAAAGCATTGGTAACTTCCTTTATCAAATATAGGACTGAGAGGCAAAGCAGTTTTAATTCCAAGCAGTTTTTAGTTAAGACTTCAGAACAAAGCACAGTGTTATAGAAGCTGCTAGCTTTAGGAAAATAAAAAATAAATAAATAAAAAGAACCTGAGCTAAGAAAAATGAATGCTCATATCTTTTTGCTTTCCTAATTGGGAAAACAGAAATTCCAACGAAGAGTTAACCAGAAACGCAGGTATAGACAGATAGATAGTACTTCTGTTATCCTGATAGGCGTTTCGCTAACTCCAACAGCCACCACACAAAAAAATCTTACTAGGCTGACTGTAAAAGCTGGCCATAACTCTTTGCATTTCTGAGTAGCTGCATAGTCTAGTTGCCAAAAGTGCCTTATGCATGAGTTGGAAAAACATAGAAGGCTAAACTGGAGGACGGCTCTCATTACCTCTCTATCTGCAACAGGACATGTTGTTAGAACCTCATAAACATTCAAACTGTGAAACAATGTGTTGGAATACTATCCAAAGCATTATAACAAAATGAAATGACATCATATACAAAATGTCTGCAAGTAAATATTAAAATGAAAATCTCAAAAACTTCTGAATAACATACACCAGAACCTATAGAATGATTTCAGTTCTTTCACATAAAGCAAAAAGTCACACTTTTAGCACTAATAAATCCTACTACTACAGAATAACAATTAGCAGCACTGGCAGAAATATGTATACTTAACTTAAAGTGATATACCACTTCCAAAGCTGTAAAGAAATAACTCAAAAACTAAAGAGACCATATCTTACAACTGTTAAGTATTCTCCCCACTGCCAAATACTTACAAATTCCTTTCATTAAAATTCAATTTTAATACTAATTGAAGCTAGCTGTGTTTTTGAAATGTTTCACTTTTATTTAAGAAACTACTACAATATAGTCTTAATGCATTGGTTTATTAAATATTTACCTGACACAAAGTTTCTAACATTAACT